CGCAGGAGGCCTAGTCTGTGGGATCTAATCGGTCTAGTGGAGGTGATTGGCAGCAGACGGCCTCTCTAAATGAACCCAGCTCCAGTCCTTTCTGGAAAAAGTATCGCTTTTCCTCACTGGGTTCTTTGTGTTATCGGTGGGCTCCTCGGTGCTCTCTGAGCTTGGTTGTTTTCTTGCAGACATTTCATTACCCAACTAGGTAACTTCACCAGTGCTAGACGAGAGTGGGGTTTGTAGAGTTGAGGAGGATGAGAAGGAGGAGCTTGGTTGTTTTCTTGCAGGCATTTCATTACCCCACTAGGTAACATCATCAGTGTTAGAAGGGAGTAAATTGTAAATTTAATGAATTTATATGCCGCCCAATCCCGAAGGACTCCGGGCGGCTTACATAAAAACAACTGTAAGAGGATACAAAAAATATAAAATAAAGAATAAAGCAGGTTAAAAAACACATCATGCACTCAGTCTTAGTGGGGCTGGACCTCAGTCATCAGGCCTGCCGGAATAGCCAGGTCTTAGTAGCCTTACGGAAGGCCGAGAGAGTGGGCAGGGTCCGGATCTCTGGGGGTAGATCGTTCCACAGGGCCGGGGCAGCTACAGAGAAGGCCATCCCCCGAGGAGCCGCCAGACGACATTGCCTAGTCGACGGCACCCGGAGGAGGCCCATCCTGTGAGATCTTACCGGACGCTGGGAGATATGTGGCAGGAGGCGGTCTCGTAGATATCCAAGTCCTAAGCCATGTAGGGCTTTAAAGGTGATAACCAGCACCTTGAAGCGTGTTCGGAGACTGATAGGGAGCCAGTGCAGCTCGCGAAGGATAGGTGTAACATGGGTGTATCTCGGTACACCCAGTATCGCTCGCGCAGCTGCATTCTGGACCGATTGTTGTCTCCGAACACTTTTTAGGGGGTATAAACAGAGCCAAACCCCACCCCTCCTTTCTAGTACTGATCATGTTAATAAGTTGGGTAATGAAACATCTTCAACAAAACTCAGGGAACACCAAGGACCCCCTCATTTCAACTACAAATATTTCTTTTCTGTCTTATCTCTCAATTAAGAGCCAGAGTGTGCTGCCTCTTTTACACTAAAAGTTCCATCAGGGCACTAGTTGAACTGGCCAAAACAGCGTTATCACGGCCAGAATTTAAACAAAATACACTCTCAACCTTCCTAGTTCAATTTACAATATTGGACTCTCTCTCCCTATGACTAATGGGGCTTTTGAAGAAGCATGATATGAATAAAAACTCTCTTAGGGCCCTATCAAGAGTTCAGAAAAGATCCCCTTAATGTGCGAGGGACTTGATTCCTGCTTCGTTTCAAGATACTTAATTCCTGCTTCCTTTCCCATCAGTGATGTACTTGAACTATGGGCCTTTTAGCTCGTATGCTCCGGCGTATGACTCTACATTTGCCAACATCAGCAAGGATGATTCTGATTTGATCTACTCTACTTACGGAGAAGATTCCAATCCAGGAATTTTCAAGTAAGTCTTCCAGCAAGCGGGATTTCCCTTGGTTATTCGACTTTGCTAGAGTGGAAGCTTTTTTTTTTTAGACCCTTTCCCAACAAATGCTCTGATTTTCCCTTTTTCTAAGAAAAGAAGAGGCACCAGACATTTGACACCAAGAATCGCTTCATCCCTCATTTTCTACCAAAATGTTCTACCTTAGTAGTTGTTTTTTTTCCCTGAAATACTATATAGCGCCTTTAAAAGCTGTGTCACGAGAAAATCTTTAAAACAATCCAGCTTGCTGTTACAGCGCGAAGTATTAAAATGAAACTGGGAAGAAGGGGAAATATTTAGGTGTTTTGCCATTTTAATTTAATTGGTAAAAGGGGGCAACCTAATTACTGGGGCTGCAGGAAAGTTTTTCCTTGCTAGATATTTTGTGATGCTAGTCCCTGTGGATGAAATGTATCAGGAATTATGATAGTCCATACAGAACAGAATAGAATAGAATGCTTTTATTGGCCAAGTGTGATTGGACACACAAGAAATTTGTCTTGGTGCATACAAGACTTTGCCCATATTTTTCTGCTCTTCATGTTAATTTGTGCTCAGATTTACTAGGTCAAAATGCATGAAATGTTTTTTGAAAGCATCAGGAAGATGCCTTTTAATGTACCATGCTACTATACAGTTACTTAGTTCTGATTCTTCACAAGCACTTTCTTGGAAGATCATAGTTGGTTCAAGTAACTCATCTGTTATTTAATAGCAATAGCATATCGCTTCACAGTGCTTTACAGCCTTTTCTAAGCGGTTTACAAAGTCAGCATCTTGCCCCCAACAATCTGGGTCCTCATTTTACCGACCTCAAAAGGACGGAAGGCTGAGTCAACCCTGAGGCGGTCGGGATCGAATTCCTGGCAGTCGGCAGAATTGGCCTGCAATATTGCATTCTAACTACTGCGCCACCACGGCTCATGATTTCATTTTAGCGTAAGGACAAACAACGCCTTGTAGGCAGTGTTCATTGTTTCCCTGGAGTTTTTAATTTTTCTTGACTATGTTTTTTATTTAGCATTAACAGGATACACCAATAAGATCTCTGCTAAAAAAAAACTGGTTAATTTTAATCACCAGAACAACGACTTGGTGACTCAATGAAAAGAGAGCTATTCAAGTATATATTTATTATTATACAATTGTATCACAGCGGCCAATTGTTTCGCTGGATTTGGCATTGGTTACTAGTCGG